GGGGGAAGGGGGCTCCTTCGCCTCGCTGGAGAGTGGCCTCAGGGCAGCGTGTCTCCCCATCCCCGCCCCCCGTTCGCCCATGAAATCCTCCCCGTTCTTCCGAGGGCTATTCAGACCCACATCCAGGGCTCTCCTGCCCCTCCTTTGGGGGTCCGCGTTCCTTCCAGACACTTAGACTGAAGGGCAGCACGCTCCGCACTGCTGGGACCTTTGTCGCCACGAACTTTGCAAGGGGTGCGTGTCCTTTGCCCAGTCCACCGTCCCGAATTTGGGTCTCGTCTGGCTCCCTGCCGGCTCACCTCACCGCGCTCTCCGTGGTGATGAAAAATGCCGCTGCTTTCCACAATATTCGAAGGGAGAGAGAAAATTGGCGGGGTTTCCCCCCACCCATGAAAACACATTACAGAATGACAGATTCGCAGAAGAGTGGGGGAATTCGTTCAGAGTTAACTCTTGAATGCCATGAGAAGATGGGTTCACAGTGTGTAGGGCTGTGAAGAGGAGTGTGATAGCAGCGTCGTTCTTCTGACAGGCGTAAAGCAAAATGAAATTTACAATTCCTGTATGTAAAGATGTAAAGAAAAGATCACGGCGCAACCAAGACGAACAAGGAGGTATTCCGCCCAACAAAATACAATAACATCTGAGTGCATTCCTGGTCTTGATATAATTAGCTTTCTAGAACGCGAATTAGTGCTTTAAAAATTAACAACGTTTCTCCGGGAAGAAATTTCAAGAAAACGAAATGCATGCATTAAACACGGAATTCTGACTATATATATATTGAAAACAAAATGCACACCTAGAAATCGATTATCTCAAATAAATATTAAAATCAAAAACACTTTATTTTAAAAATAGAATCAGGATCCAGTAATTTAAAGATTAGACACTGCCACTGTGCCAAAATGTATTTGATATCTGATGTTTTATAAAATAGGTTAATTCAGCAACCCTTCTGTGTTGAAATCAGATATTAATCTGAATTTAATTTAATTTTTAAAATAATTGTAACATAGTAGTCAACATTTATATTAACAGAATAATTTCAAATGAGTGTAAATTAAAATGAATCCAGATTCAAATCCAAATAAAAACTTTTAAAAATAGTTTTTGTGTTAATTTTTTCCCATCCAAATCAGTCTTTTGGAATTTGATTTGCAAACATACCTGTTTCCATCTTAAACTAAGTTTAGCTGAAAGTTATCCATAAGCATAGGAGATTGAGAGATTTAGATTTGAAACTGGAAGACTATAACCATATTCTGAATGCAAAGGAAACAACTGCATGTATGAAAAACACTGCTCCTTAAACACCTTGTCTATTCATTAATTATACCCTTGCATTTAATAAGGGGAAGCATCCCCCCCCCCTTCTCTGATACAGTTCCTGACATCTCTTGTCATATGACATCATGATATAAAATTAACCTCCATTTTTGGCCAGGCTGTGGACACCCACAGGCCACAGCCACTTCATGTAACATTAAAATTCCAACATAAAAGTCAATTTTTTATACAGAAACCTACATGAAATAGGCACACATACATTCATCACACTTGAGGAACTGCACATGGGGTTCAAGCAAACAGAACTAACTTCCATGTAAGATCTTTGTCTTCCATGACCCAAATCTTCTGAACTGATTATATATTTTTATGCTAGCAGTTTCTAGCTCTGTCCTAGCACAAGGTCCCAAACTCTTCTTTCTATCAGCATAACCAAGCCTTCACCTTCTCCCTGCTTGTGTCAAAGTAAGCAGTTGTATCATGAATGCACGTGGGCTGTACATGAGTCAGTAACCACAGAAAAAGGGTGGCATCAATCAGTCAGGGATTTATAGGGTTTCTGCCCCTTTCTGTTAGGACAAATTCATTTCTTTAAAAAAGCCATAAAATGAGACAGAAAATGACCCTTGGAATACCTGTTTAATCGGAACCGTCATGTTCTTGGCTTCTTGTCTACAACCATGAGGTCTAGAGACACAGTTGTTTTTAAAATAAAAACTAATTTGTTTATCAGGCTGTTTTAAAATCCTGCCCTTCCTCCAAGGAGCTCAGGGAAGTGTACTAAATCAGTGTTTTGATCCTGACAGTAGCTTTTCGAGGTTCCAAATGATTCAGATGCTTGATCTGCATTTTGTTTTGCTTTTAGATTACAATGTTTCCACCATTGACTTGCACATTCGATTCAGTGGTAGAATGCAATTTTCACATGCAAGAAATATCATCTGGCTACGATGGCTGGCTTTCCAGTTAAGAGACCTCAAGTAGGATGGGGGGAAATCTTTGCCTAAAAACCTAAAGAGCTGACTTGGAAATCTCACTGTCAATTTATTAACCAGAGCTAAGCAGGGAGCATGCCCAGTGAACAGCCTTCAGCGCCCACATGTGCCATTCTAGGTCTGTCCATCAGTGTTGTCCGTTTAATTGCTTTTCTATTGTTTAAAACTAAAGGATTCTTTATAGCAGAGCTAAGTAATAGTGCCACCTGCTGACAGCTAAATAAATAATTACACCATGCACTTTATTGTTGTTCAGTTAACCAACAGATTTCAAAACAAAGCAATCAGGATTGCTGGATGCTCTGTTAATGGCTCTGGAGTAAATTGTATAGTTTGTAAAATAACTTTAATGCTTGCTGGAAAAGACTGCAGTTACTTTGTAGGGGCCAAAATCCAGACAGTAGTCAAAATTTACCACAATAGGCTTGAGGCATACTTAACTCTACGTTGAATTTATTTACTTTATAGCTCATGTTTTTCACTGTGGCTTCAGGCAGATTACACAATTTGAAACAGTGCAATAAGAATAACAGAAAACACAAACTAACAGTGAATAAAACCAAGGCACAAGATTTGGGAATAATACACTAACATTTAACATGTATATAGATCCAGGTGGTTTGCCCAGCCTTGTTGGTCTGAAGCAGTAGGACAAAGTTGGGTCCATGTATGAATGACAAAAAGTGGTGAAAAACGCAATGAACAGTGAAATAGGAAGCAAGCAATGAAAACTGACTAAATTTCACAGATGTTAAACAACCTTATTCCTTATTATAAACATGCCCCCCTGAACGGTTCCATTTTATTTGTTGTTGTTCAGTCACACAGTCGAGTCCGACTCTTCGCGACCCCATGGGCGAGATCATGCCAGGCCTTCCGGTCTTCCGCCGTCCTCTGAAGTTTGCTCAACTTCACATTCGTTGCATCTGTGACACTGTCTAACCATCTCATCCTTTGCCGTCCCCGTCTTCTTTGACCTTCAATCTTTCCCAGCATCAGGGTCTTCTCCAGTGAGTGCTCCCTTCTCATTTGGTGGCCAAAGTATTTGAGCTTCAGTTTCATTATCTGGCCTTCTAGGGAACAGTCACAAGAGTGTGGGAGCTTTCCTGACCTCATCAGACAGGCCATTCCACCGGGTGAGAGCCAGAACAGAGAAGGCTCATCTATGGGCAGCTGCCAGTCTTACCCATTTGAAAGGTGGCACCTTCAGAAGGCTTTGCTCAGAAGCAACCTGATTCCCTATTAGAAAATGCCCTTCTGAACATCTGAGCTGTGGACTTGTAAAAGGCAGGCCTTTATTTGCTCAATACTTCATTTCTTTTATTTACTATGTCTGCTGCACACTTTCCTTATTATCTTTTAGTTTTCTCATACAAGTACCTTCTTTCCTCTTTTTAATATACTTTGGGAATAGAATTGTTTTCCCTGTGTGATGAGAAGTTTTACACTTTCTGGTGTATAAAAAAGCACTGTTTTCTATTTAGAAAGTGCTTGCTTTACAAGCTACAAACCAGAAGAATGATATCTAGGTATATCCTTTGACTGTTTCATAGGATGGATATCTTGAAAGTTTCACATGTCTCAATAGGACATTTGTCAGTGACACTTCCTCTCTTTGTCAGGATCACAGAATCATAGAATCATAGAGCTGGAAGGGAGCTCCAGGGTCACCTAGTCCAACCCCTTGCACAATGCAGGAGATTCACAAAGGATATAGCCAACAGTGTTATGAAAGTTTATGAAACAGATACATATGTCCACTGATACAGGTGGGGAATCTGTGCACCCTCCTGAGCCAGCTGGTGAACTCCAACAGTTCCCTAAGAGAAAGCAGGAAAAATTATTGGCACTTGATAGTGTACGGTGTTCTATAGCACGCCTGCTGAAAGCAGTTGTAACAGGAAAAAGGGGGAACAGAGGAAGCACTGATGTGTGGTCAGGACTACTTTCCCCAAGGAAGAAACAGCCTGCCTACTGACAGTTTGGGAAACCAGTAAACTTTTGGCTTGAACTTCTGTCCTTAATGTGTCTGCTT